GGCCATGTGAAACCAAGGACATAAAGGCAAGGAGGGCAGCCCATGCCAAAGGTGAATAAGCACAATTGGGCCCAGGAGGCACATGGCCCATCAGCCCAGACAGGGATGGGAGCTGTGGTGCAGGTGCACATGGCAGGAGAGAGCCACAAGTTCCCAAAGCCCTCAGCATCTTGTAGCCCTGCTGCCAGGACATCTTCATGGAGGAAAGGCCACTGGCTGCACAGGGGGAAGTGGGCTCATGTTCAGGCTTTGCTTCTCACTAGCTGAGTCACCTTTAGCCGATCAGCCATCGACCCAACTACCTACCTATCGTCACCAAAAAGCAATGACTGAGGGCCTTCCATGAGCTCATTCGGTGCCTGGCGGTGAGGATAGAGAGGGGGTTATAATGTGGATCTCATTGTGAGGAGGGGTCTCACTGCCGTCATTGTGCCTGTGCACACACATGTGTCTGGATGTAAGAGGTTAGGAAAACATCCTGTTCTACACTGAATGACCCTGTACTGATTTCATATAGGTAATTTGTAAGCGTGTTTCATAAGACAATCAGAAAGCACAATACAAAAATGTTTTTAGAGGAGAATTAAAGTCACAGAAGTGCATCTTTGCTCACATCCCTTCAGAACACATAGCACACACATATGAAAATAGCTCCCTTTCAAGCTCCTCGAACACCAGACCCCACAGAACAGGCCTCAACATGTCTCTCCCAGCAAAATGTGCACAGAGAGCTGCAGCCTACTAGTCTACCAAGAGACCATCAGATGCTGGTCCTAGCATGTTTCTGTCCAGCCATCTGGTGTGACAATATTTGGATAGCAACAGGCCTCAACATGTCTCTCCCAGCAAAATGTGCACAGAGAGCTGCAGCCTACTAGTCTAGCAAGAGACCATCAGATGCTGGTCCTAGCATGTTTCTGTCCAGCCATCTGGTGTGACAATATTTGGATAGCTTTTTTTTTTTTGGCATTTCTAGGTGACAATGCTCATTCAAAGGCAATATCCTTCTTGAGTTTTACTTGGTTCCATCAGGTCTCAGTTCACCTCTTTGGAGAACCCAAATGTGATGGTGAATGAAAGTTTTTGAGCTCAGCAATACCTGCATGTTAATAGTTAAATATATGGTGTGCTAAACAGTATTTGAGAAATTCTTAGACACTGGCCCAGGATTATTCACTGTTCACAATGAATGAATATGAAATTAAGCCATGTAAAATTTTCCCAGAAATCCATTTCTCAGACTGTTCCACCCAAACACCCAGACTCCAAGTATACGTGCTGGATTAGAGGAAACAAAACCGTAAGTAAGACTCGCTTGGTGACTAACTCTCCACAGCTGCTGAAGTCCTTACTTTATCCTTGTTGTTAGCATTTTGTTTGTTGTTATTATATTATGTTTTATGTTATTATGTTGTCACTCCTTGCTGTTGTGAATAAAGGAGAAAAATCTTTCTTACTAAGTACATTGCAGGGTAACCCTATAATTAGATAACAAATAATTAACACTTCTTTGAGAAAACAAAACTAAAAGTTCACATAATCAGCAATTAATTTACCATAAAACAATTCAAGGTCTTCCTTGGCCTGTTGTATATGTTCCTGGATATTTTACAAGAATACATCCTTACATACATATAGAATAAAATAGAATGACAAATTAATAACATGACAATTCTCCTAAAGATGGGGGAATATAATCTATCGGACAGCTAAAATTAGAAACAGATTTGAGGCAATTATTATTAGATATTACTAGGTAGTAAGTCAATACTTTCAGGTATATTTGTAACCAAAACACTTATTTTTTTAAAAAAAAAAGGAAAAAATGTAAAAGTTAAAAGTACACAAATGGAATGTGGGCTAATTGATTTTAAAATGGGGTTAGCAGGCTCTCATCTGAAGGTCAGGGGAGCTTTTGGAAGAATATTGCAGTGTAATCCTTAAAGAACAGCTCTGTGAACTCCACACTCCAGCCATGCCATAGAAAACCCAGCCTGAGTACTCGCCTTGAAATGTTCACAAAACCCAGGTCAGCTGTCCACTGTGGAGTATTGAATCCAAATAAAATGGAGCCCAAAGAAGGAACATGGAAAAAGCTAATTCTGGCGGAGAAATCCTGTTCTGAACTAAGGTTAAGAATTTCAAGTCAAGTATTACAAACTTGGAAGATATAAGAGTCTAAAAGTCTTTTTCTTTTCTTTTTTTTTTTTCCTTTGAGGTCCTTTGTTTTTTTGTTTTTAAAGAGAATGATTAGTAGGATAAGAAGAAACTGATATGCCTTATCAATCCTAGGAGGCACATCTTAAGTGACCCAGAGAAGTTAATCAGTCTCACTGTTTGGAGATCTGTTTCCTTTCTCAAAGGAGAATAAAAAGGTCAACAACTGAGCACCCAGTCAGTCATCAGGGTAAAGCTGCCCACCAGATGCCCCTTGCCTTTGCCTACACAAACTCCTCGCCAGCAGCATCCGAGAAAACAAGTTTTTCTTACTTTTCATAACATTTTTTCCCCAGAGAACGGAGATAATTGAAGACCTAGAGGGATTTTCCCAAAACTTTTCATAACATTTTTTCCCCAGAGAACGGAGATAATTGAAGACCTAGAGGGATTTTCCCCCCCCCAAAAAAAAAAGAAAGAAAGAAAGAAAAATGGCAGGGATAGAATGGGAAGGGACTGTTTCTGTGCAAACTCAATGAAAGTTTATGGAAGCAGAGCAGATGTAACAATAAGAAATCAAACTTTACTATGCTTATTTCAAGCCAAGCACTGTTCTAAGTGCTTTACGTAATCTGATTCTTAAATTCCCACAATAACCTCAAAGGGTTGGATACTTCTAGTGTCCCCATTCTATTAATGAGACAACAAAGGCACAGAAAGGTTAAGTAACTCACCCAACGTCACACAGCAAGAAAGTGGCAGAGTCAGGATTTTATCCCAGACCTGCTGGCTCTGAAGTCCATGTTCTTGATCATCACACTACACTACCTCATGCAGGCAGCCAGCCACCCATTCAAATCCTCATCACATAACACATCTGTGCTCCACACTAGAGCCATAACGATGAGTTTCACACGGTCAAGGGAAGAGACAAAGCATGCTGAGGACAGCGCCATATGAATGGAGATTCAACAGGACACCCAAACCCACACTGGGGGCGGAAAAGTCTCCTCAGAGGAGACGATGCCCATGCTAAATCTTGGACATGTAGCAGATAACCTGGGATAGGAGCAACGAGGGAGAAACTCCATTCAGGCAGAGGGTACAGCACATGCAAAACTTCAAGGCAGGAAAGAATGTTTTTTCTCAAGGAAAGGTAAGTAGTTTAATACAGCTGGCATAGCAGTACCATCAGTGTCAAAGGGTGGGGACACCCAGCAATGCCAAGGGAAGCCCAGACAGAATGGCGTAAGGAGTGTAAATCTTTCTGGAAGTCTCCAATAAACAACTGAAGAATTTTACACCAAGAAGCAAAATGATCAGATCTTTTACCTAGTTCACTGGCTATTACAAAGGCACTAGACTAGACAGGGCCAAGAACAGAAGCAGGGAGACAAATTAGAAAGCTGTTACTGTGTTTCAAAACTGTGGTAAGAGGCCATTTGCTGGAATCATGTAGCCATGCAACCAGAGCTACGGGAAATTTCTCAAACCAAGGTGGCCAAGAGGAGCAGACTTGGGGCCACACGGTAGCATGTGCTCTAGCTCTTCCCAGTGGCCTCACCGGGGATAGTGCCCTCAGGTTATGTCCCAGTATGTAATTTTACAATGTCCCAGGGTCTTTAAAAATACTAGGAACAGCGCCTTCTCACTAGGGAAGAAACGCCTACCCACTCTTTCCCAGTCCCCTGCCACACAAACAATTCTTAAAATTCTTATGTTAATCACTTTGGGAGCATTTCTTTTTTACTTCTTAGAATGTGCTTACATTTCAGCCTGAGAGGTCTCCTAACTGGCTTCTATAAGCCTGAAAGTATTTCTGAAGGATTAAGATTTAACATGCAATTCACATTCTTAACCTTATTATCTCCAGCTTTCCTAGGTCTGGCCAAAGGTCTTCCGAAAGGACTTTTTAAGAGGTCTCCTAACTGGCTTCTATAAGCCTGAAAGTATTTCTGAAGGATTAAGATTTAACATACAATTCACATTCTTAACCTTATTATCTCCAGCTTTCCTAGGTCTGGCCAAAGGTCTTCCGAAAGGACTTTTTTAAAAAAAATAATGATCCTGGTGTGAGCTGCTGCTGGACTTTGTCCCTGTATTTTTGATGCCTTGTAAAAAATGCCCATTTAAAACTTCCTCAGTAGTGTCTCTATAGATTCCTTCACAAAAGCGTTGCCCTCTCCCTGTTAGAGGTGAAGTTGAAAATATGACATACAGGCAGACGACATTCAAGTCACCAGCACCTTGTATTCTTCCAAAATTAATGTCAAAACGTTCAATAAATATCAGAATATGTAAGTAAGTTTCCACTTTCCTCCCGAACATATATTATTGATTCTACCAAAGTGGAATACCTTTTGGGGGCTGAAAACATCAGCAGCTCTGGGCCTCTGAGATTGGAGTCCAGGGGGTACTTCTCACCTGGAACCTACCTGTTTGCACTTATTTACTTTAAGCATTAGTGCCTCCTTTGGCAGAAATTCCTTTGAACACCAACAGGGCATGGCGCTTTTTATAGGCTGCAAAATTCTTTAATAACTTCCCGACTAGGACGGCCGGTTAGGAATTTCAGGATAGCTGACAGTGGGATGCTGGACTCACCACCCCGACCCCAACCTCTTTGCTTCCAAACTGTCAAGTCCTCCCCCAACTGCTCTTGAAACTCTTCTGCGTGACACCCCGCCTGTCCCGCCTCCCATCTGCGGATGGAAGAGCCTAGTGACAATCGAGACACCGAGGGCACACTCGCGGCGCTCCCTGTCGCGTCCCTCTCGGATCTGAGAAGACCAAGGCTAAGAATGGGAGGGGGCGTCCTAGGAGTCGGGGGAGGCGACATTTACCTTGACGAAGAGGGTGATGTCGTGCTCCTGCCCCGGGGCCCCCTCCTCGGACGCCTCTCCGTCCTCCCCGCGGCCGTTCACTCGCGCCGAATCGTCGCCGCCCTCGGCGCTGAGCTCCTCCGCCAGGTGGTTGCTGAGCCCGGCCTGCGGCTCCGCGGCCCCGCTGGACACAGCCGCCTCCGCACGGGGGCTGCCGTCGGGGGGCTCCTCCTTGTCCTCCTTGTCCCCGAGGAAGGCTGCGGCTTCCTCGCTCGGCCCCTCCGGGCCCGGCTCTCCTATCTCCTCTGCCTTCTCCGCCTCCTCCTGGGGCCCGCCCCGTTCCCCGTCCTCGCCAGCGTCTGCCTCAGCGTCCCCGGGGACCGCTTCCTGGGACCCCTCTTTCTCCGGGCTCCCCGCCTCCTCCGCGGCGTCCGCGGCCGCGCCCCCCGTG